GGGGTGCTATTTGGGAGGAAAGGGGCATGTTTCTGGCATCCTCTTAGCCCTAAACCAGAGGGACTGGGATCTGAGGGTTCAGATGAGGGGGTTGGTGGGGGGGTCGGGCAGAAAAGACTGTGTATTTTCTAATTAGGAGGAGGGACAAAGTGAGGAGTTGAGTCAGCCCAACTTGGAGAAATCCCCTTCAGCTGCCCCTGTCCAGCAGTGCCTCAGGCTTGACCCTGTAGGAGTGTCCTGGGTCAACTGGAGGGTGTGAGCTGGGCTTGGGCTCCACGCCCAGATGACTGGACAGGGGCTGCCTGGGCCATAAGCCCAGGCCTGAAGGAGGGAGGAAGAACCTCACGTGTCCAGCCAGGCTCTCCCTTCTCCCTACCACCCGCCCATACTGTGTTTGGGGTGAAAACAGACTGGATAACTATGGCAACCTGGAACTGGGGCTCCCAGGAACTAGACCTCTCCTCCCTCCAGAGGGCAGCCCTGGTCCTCAGCTGTGCTTCCTGCACCAGGGTCCCTAGAGCCTTATCAAGCTCTACAGAGGCAGTAAGTTCCATGAGAACCAGGATTTTAGAAGTAGATGACCTGAGTTGGGCTCCTCCTGCTTTGCCTTTTATTAGTGGATGTCCTAGAACACTGTCCTCAGGGTCCTCATCTGAGAAATGTGATACTCCTACCTACATCTTCTGGTGGGGTGAGGATGAAAGATGATATTTTCAGTGTTCACTCCATAGTAGACACACCGTTCCCTCGGGCCTTACTTCTTTCTCTCCCCATTTACATTGCCTTTCCCCCTCTATTCTCATTTTATCCCGTCTGGGTCCATCACTGTTCAACTGTCCTACAGCTCCTCCTCCTTCCTGACTCCAGTTGGAGAAAGTGCTTCAAGCACTGGCATCTCATGCTGGAGGCTATAGGATGGGGCATGCTGCCCCTCCACTAAGTGGCCAAGGATAGCTGGCACTCTGGTGTGAACCAGGCCTCATACCTCTTGGCTGAGGGAGTGGAGTAGCAGGGAGGATGGAGAACTGTGGAGACTGGGTATGCCTGGGGTGGGGTGAAGGCAGGCTCCTGGCTGCTGCCCTCCAAGCCTGTGTGGGTTTCCATTTCCTTTGTCCACAGCCCCTTCCAAGGCTACCTCAGCATGCCAGGCCACTGTCACTCCTGCACTTCATTGCTCCCTTCCTCTCTTAGTCCCTCTTGATCAGTTTTGCTTTTTGGGGCTACCACATCCTGCTTCCTCCCTCTGGATCCCCACCTTTTGTTCTCTGTGGTCCCTGACTCCCTGACACCAGTGTCCCTCCCTTCCTCTTTTCTCTGCTTCTTTCTTGCCTGCCTTTTTTTTTTTTTTTTTTTTTTGGCCCTCCACCGCAGCACAAATTATCACATCTTTTGACCCTTTATTCCTGTTTTGTTTTTTTGTTTTGCATTTTATTTTTCCCCTTCTCTCCCTCTGCTTCACTGTCTTTCTTCCTCTTATTTTTTTCTTGGTCTTCTGGTCTCCTGCTGCTGACCCCGTGCATGCCTCCTCCCTTTTTTATGCCACCCCCCCATTTCCCTTTCCATTCCTTTGTCCACATTCCTTGCCCCTTTCCATTACTTCCTCTCTTCTCCCCCGCTGCAGTCTTCTCCTCCCCCCTTCTCTCTTCATTTTCCCGCTCCAGTCCTCTGTCCTCTTCCCAGCTGTGGGGGCCAGGACTGGGGAGCCTAATGTTTGCCTCATCGTTCTGCTATGACTTCTGGATACAGCACATCTGGATTCCGGGGCCCAGATGTGTGGTTGCCACAGCGACCTCAGTCCCTCTGGTAAATACAGGCGCCCACCCGCCCCAGAGCAGAGAACAAAACAATTGTGTGACTTTCTTTTGTCACGAGATAGAAATGTCTTCCCTCCTCCCTTTTCCCCACACCCATGTCTCTGGGCAAAGGAAGTTTTAAGGGTCCAGACCCTTCTTTCCATGACTCTCTAGCCCCCTGTTCATCCTTGGCCTCTTAGTTCTCTCCCATCTCAGGCTGTTTTCTATATTCCCATCCTCATCTCCCAGCCTTCAATTCCCTGTAATAAATGTTGGACATCCTACCCCATATGCAATTTAGGCAATTTCTTCTCCCTGAATCTATACAATAACTGGATACAGAAAGAAGTTTTAAAAATCCAGCTTCTTTACGCTTTCTTCCTCAAGTTCTTCAAGAAGCTACTTTGCTTGTTTCTGTTTTCAACCCCTTCCTTTCCTAGAGCTGCTGGGGAAGGGGGAGAGAATGTAGGCTTTGGAATCAGAAAACTGGGGTGAGGCCCACTTTCACTACTAGCAAATTCTCCTGGACAAGCCACATAATGTCTATGAGCCTCCATTTCCTCATCTACAAAGTGGGATTCATAAAATGCCTGTGTAGGAAACTGCTTTGTAAACGGAAGCCCAGTACAAATGTTTCCTATCTTTCCTTCTCTGGGACTGATTTCTTGGCTCACAGCCTCCTTGGCCTCCCTTCTTCATTTCCTTCTCTGTCCTTCAAGCCCTTGCCCTCAATTGCCCTTCCTTTTCTTTCTCTTCTCTTTTCCCTTTTCTTCTATGTATATCTTTTATTCTATAACCTCCTGAGGTCAGGACAGAAACTTGGAGGATCATTCAAGGATGGAGGCTCAGAGCTGAAGATACCAGCTGAAGACCTTGAGAACAGTCAGAGCACACGGACAGTTTTGGAAAACACCATGACCTCTCCACCTACCACCCAGGACACTTCAGTGAAGCCAACCCAACACCTGACCAGAGGGCTTCCCTGCCCTCACACCTGTGGTTCTCTGCCAAACACTTGCTCCCCATAGTCCTTTCACGATTCAATATTGACGAGCATTTATTGATCACCTGTGCTGTGCAAGGCTCAGTGCTTTTCTGAAAAGAAGCAAAATGTTTATAAGGCCTGGACTCCTGAGAGACTGAAATGCAGGAGGTGAGTCAAGATTTAGACAGTCATTATTTTGGAACCTGGAACTACATCAAGCTTCCAGTGGCTTTCCCAAATGCCTCATAAGCTTGTCAACATCTGGAACCCCATGTTCCTGTCTCAGACCCCAGCATCCGGTCCCCAGAGGTGGGCTTCCAAAACATCCTAGGGCCATACTTCTGGTTTTTGCTTCTCTCCAGAGTCTCCTGACCACTCTCTGGACTAAATAACCATACTTTCTAAATACTGAAAAGAAGACAGGGCCTGGGGGGTGGGTGAATGGATATAACCATAGAAATTGGAGGGTGTCAAGAGAAAAAATCCATACTCTACAATCTGCTCTCCCCAGGTGGTGCAATTTCAAGACCCTCCCTTGCCTTTGATTTGTCTTCCCCACTGCTTGCTGGGAGATCTGGGAGAAGGTGGTACCTACTCATGGCTCTGAGGGTTCAGGCCAAAACAGAGGAAGGAAGCTTAGTCCAGCTCTATCCAAGATGCTGACTTCATCCTTCCCATCAAAGCCAGGAAAAAAACAGCCACATACACCCAGGCACACGGACATACACGGGGACACCCATGAAAGAGGCCATGTGTGCTTCTGCTCTCAGCCACGCAGAGCTGAGTGGGCAGTGGCCACAGCCACATGCTGTGCCAGTATACCCAGACCCAGGTACCCAGTACATCTGTGACTAGATCTCTGACCTGAGGTGCAGACACCTGTGCCTCAAATCACATGTGGCATCCAACACATGCCTGTTTTAAGTTCCTTCACTATCACCTATTACTTGGCCAAGGTACACCTTTTTGGTGAGGCGTGGAGAGGAGTCTATCCTCCATAGAGCCTGGGTCGCGTTCTTCCTCAGTGTGAACAGTTCTCTGTGACGGAAGTCCCATTTTTAGCCTATTAACAGGGCAGCACTGGGAAAATGAGGCCAGAGAAACACCCAACAGACTTAATGTGGGGTGTGTTTGCTTGATCAGTCTTTCTGTCTCGCCTGAGACCAATATGCCCTTTTCCTCCAGCCCCTGTTTCTCTCCCTTCCCTGCTCCCCAGGCATTAATTCCCTTCCATTCTGCCTTCCACAACATCACCTCTCCATTTCCACAACATCACCCATATGTGCCTCCTGCTCTAGCTCTTTTCTTCATCCTTTTACTTGCCCCTAACCTCAGGTTTTCCTTCCCTGTCTTCCCCTCAAACCCTACTTCTTCCCACGTCACATATACCCTGATGTTCAGTCAAGTGCTTGCCTAGTTAGTCTCACACATTTTTCTAGGGATTTGCTGAGGTGGGAAAATGAGAACAGGAAAGGGACTGGTCAGAGCAAACAGAAAGGCAGCTTGATGACAGTGTAAGCTGGGGAAGAGGGAACAGGTGGGAGCAATGGAAGCAGGTCGGGTGGATGTGGAACCCCATGGATGGTCTCTCATGGCAGAGATTTTAGGGTTAAAGGGGAGGTTGCCTCCTATCTCCTGCTCCTACCTCTGCTCCCTACCCTGCATGGCCAGTGGGGAATAGTTGGGGGGATGAAGGAGCCTGTGCTAGCAACAGATAGGGTGAGATTCCAATTGGAGCAGCATCTGGGAATAAGTGGGAAAGGAATTTGGGAAGGAGCAGGAGAGGGACTGGCCATGAGGAACAGTGTTGGCAGAGAAAAGAAACTGGGTCTGAGAAAAGGGGCCACAGGTGGGGAAAGGATGGGGAATAAAGAACTAGCAGGAAGAATAGGGAATGTCAGGTTGGGCAAAACTTAGGGTGGGGAGGAGTTTAAAATAGGATGGGGAAAGAACGTGAGAAGTTGAGACAGGATGAAGTGGGTGAGACAAGGGTATGGTGGGACTCTGTGGTCCTGGACAGGGAGGGGGCCAGGATGATGGCAGGAGGACAGGAGGGGTGGTGTCTAGGAGGGGTGGGAGGACCTGCCCTATCTCCGCTCCCCTCCCTGACCTCATGCTGGTCCTCCCCTTCTCCTCCCCCTGCTCACTGCAGGCTCCCTCCTTCTCTCTGTCGCTGCCCAGATCGACAGTCAGTCTGGTCCAGGCTTGGTGAGCCTCTGCTGCAGGGGACAAGTGAGGGGGACCTCTGGGGAGTCTAGGGCTGCCAAAGGGAGCCCCCCCTGGCCTGCTCTGAGACACTTCTTTCCCAGGATTGGAGACAGAGCAGGTGCAGAGGCACAGCAGCTGCCCTATTGCCCAGGTAAGGAACAGAGCCCTAGGGAGACACCGATGAGGAGTAGACAGATAGGGATTTCACTTCTATCTGTCGGAAACACCCCAGCAAAGGTGTGGCAGGAGAGCTGTCAGAGTCTCTCCTAGGACAGGGACTTTTGTTCAGGACAGAGGGAATAGGGGCATCCACTGGGATCAGACTCCTTGTAGAGGATATATCTGGAGGGTGAGACAGTGTGCTTGTGGGAGGTGGGGGGTGCCAGGGTTTGGATGGTTCCCATAAAGGCATGTGAAAGGAATTGGGAACAAACCCAGGGACTCCGGGAATAGTACCACGGTGAAGGTGATTATCAGTGAGGTGCTGAGGCTGCCGAGAAGACAAAGCTGGGCTGATCTGGTGAACAGCTGAACCTTAGGAGGAAAGTGCGGGTGAAATCCCAACTGCCAGGACTGTAGTGGCTGAGCCAGATCCGGAGGTGCCAGAGGGAGCTTTGGGCATCCAGACGGGGACTTCCCAGATGACAGCACGGAGGTTTCACAACCTGGGAGGGAGCCCTAGGGAGTCTTAAGCCTTTAGGAAATGCTGAAATGGGGCAAAGTGAGGACTCGCAGGTTTGGGAAGGGCACAAAGCCTACAGAGATGATCCTGAAGCTTGTTCTTGGCCGGGAGCGCTGCACCCATAACTCACAGTTCAGCGCGGCTGCAATGGCTGAGTGATGTCCCTGGAGGGGCACAGGACTCTTGTCTTCACTCTGCCGTCCCCTTCTAGTCTCCTTCTGCTCAGTCGGAATTGTCCCACTCACCCCCTAATGCACGTGACACACCCTGGGTGGGGCGGGCAGGCCTCTTATCTCGCCTGGAAAGAATTTAATGGCTTAGAAACAACTGGAAGCGGAACTGAGGGGAACTACTGGGAAGCAACTAGGAAACACCGCAACTGCCGCCTGCCCCACCCTTCTCCACTTCGGAGACCTCCAGCCCCCTCCCCTCTTTCCCTGGCCCTATCTCCAATCCCTTGAGATCCAGCACCTCAATTCCTCAAACTTCCTTCTGCTTAAATCCTGGCCACTAATGTAGAACCAGAACTCGCCTTCCTGTCTCTCACTGTCCTCCTGACCTTTCCCACTAGGGATCCGGAAATCCTTTTGTCTTAGTTTTTCCATTCTCCTGGCCCATCAGCTGACTCTATAGGATAAGGGGCAGCTAGGTCCCCAACTCTCCCTTACCAGTACTCTCTTCCCACCTGCTTCTTATCCAATATCTCAGGCTCCTGTGCTCCTTCCCTCCTTTCTCACTCTTAGACTCCTTCTGCCTTTACCCCTCATTGCCAAATTCAGCTAGGGGTGTGACAGGAGGGGCAGAGGGAGGAATTAGGATGGGATCAGAACCCCCCAGTCTCTGACACATCCCTCATAGAAGCCCACCCCCTCCACACCCCATGGGTTCTAGAGTCCATGATGAGCAAAGTGTCAAAGTTGGCCACAAAACCAAATACCAGGGATGCTGAGTCACAGTTTGGGAAGATGCCCCTACCCCTACCAGTCCTCCAACTGTGGGAAGAATGCCAAGAGGGTGAGGCCACATTTCTCCCAACCAGCCACACTTGGGAGAGTCAGAGGGGAGACACAAGAGATACCCAAATTTGCTTGCCCATTGCTAAGAGAATAGTCAAAATTTTCCAAGAATTGGAGTGGGTGGCTAGAGGGGTGGCGGTGGAAGGGAAGGGGAGGGAACTGGGAAGGAGGCTCTGGGAATGGTTTATGGGGGTTGCACCTGTCTTCTAGACCAGCTTTCCAGAGAAGGCAATGGATTCTGTATACTCCTTCCTGCTACAGAGACTCCCTTCCGTGCCCATGGGGAAAGAGACTGAATCCTATGGGGGTTGGGGGATGGGAAAGGGACTGGAGAATTCCCAGAGGCCTTCAGCAGTGTCAGAGAATACAAGAGGGACCATGTATCCTCCGCCTCCCACTTCGGAAGAGTCCTAGGAGTGCAGTTCCCTTCTATTCAATTCAGTTCTTCATTTTCACAGCTGCCCTTTGAGACAGCAAGAAATCAACTTTCGTAGTCATCACTCAATGGCTAGGTAGAGGGGAGGTTGTGTGTCTGAGTGTGAGTATGGTGTGTACTGTGTACACGTGCCTGCACAGATTCAGGCTTTATAGGTGGATGTAAGTATTTTATGCACAAGCATGTTCATATTTGTATTTGTGGATGAACACATGTGAATATCTTTATTTGTGTTACATATTTGTCTGTGCATGCACCATCATAGTTGGTGTGTGGATGATTTGCACAGCTTTAGACAGAGTGACAGGTAGTTTAAGCCAGAACCCACCTGATACCTAAAACTACACCTCTACCTGAGAAGGGCTGGGGCACAGAAAAGGGTGGCTGTCTACATTCAGATTTGTCTGCCTTGGCTACCTGAGGTGAGGTGCCTCTCCTTGTGGAAACACTGTCTCTGGTGTCCAGTTCCCCTCTGTGTCTTGATGGCTGATGGGGGACTGCGGGGGCTTGTAGCCCTGAAAACTCATTTTTCTCTGACTCAGAGGCAGGCAGGAAATATGTAAATTGAGGGAGGGGGGTCAGTCCCTTGCCTCCTCATCTGTGACACCTTCCCTTACTAGTTCATTTTTCCGATGCCTACTCTGCCCTCCTGTCTCCAGTCCCTCTAGTCTAGAAGAGCCGATACCTGCCAACATTACTCCTCAACTTTTACCTGAACTGAAGCTTGACTCACTCCTCTGTACTCCCTCATTCTCCAGAACCCTCCCTCCCTCCTTGCCTCTCAAACCACTATCTCCTTTATGTCCCAGCCCTTGCCACAGTGAAAAACCATTACCCAGATTAAGAAATAAGATTTCCCTGGGCTCGATTACCAGCACTGTTTTTTATATATATAGTATATGTTTTTTAAAAGTATTGGGGAGTGTAGCTTGGTGGTAAAGCATTTGCCTAGTATGCACCAAACCCTAGGTTCAGTCCCAGTACCATTAATTGATTAGTTAATTCTCAACACTCTGTATTCTCCCATCATGTCCCATCTGGTCATTACCCGAACTATGAGCACCATATTCATGACTCAACACTGTAGATTACCATCCTCTCTTCTTGAACTTCATTTAAATAGAATTATTCAGCATGTTCTCTTGTGTGTCTGGCTTCATTTGCTCAAGCTTTTAGTAAGATTCATCTATATTACTACATTTAGCTGTAGTTCCTTCTCATTGCTTATTTTATTCTACTGTAAGAATGAATCACAATTATTTAATCCGTTCTGCTGATGTGAAGCATGTGGGTAGCTCCCAGTTTGAAACTATTCTGGGTAGTAGTGCTATGTTGGTTGTATTCCTAGGACTGGAATTGCAAGGTCATGGGGTTTACATATGTTCAGCTTTATTAAATCAAGTAAATTCAGCCAAACAGTTTTCTAAAGTGCTTATACCATCTGGTCCTTCCAGGATCCATCCAACTCTGGTCTCTGACTGGTCTACCCTGGCTACTGCTTTCTAACTAACTTCTATTCACAGACACTGTCCGTGGTCCTAGCCCTGACCTTGGTCCTATTCTTGACTTCAGCCTTAATGCTAGTCCTGAGCTTAAATTGAAATTTTCATTCATTCCTATAGTGAATAAATATTTATTGAGCACCTGATATGTGCTTGGTGCAAGGATACAGCTGACAAGGTCGGGGGAACAGTTACTATGACTGCCCCATAGACCTTATGGTCTAATGGGAAGATTGAGAATAGGCAAGAAAGTAATAAAATAATCCCATCATATATCTATTTGTATATGATCACAAATTGTTATAAATGCTGCAAGTGGGAATTATATGGTACTGTGATATCACATGATGGGGGACCTGACTTGTTCAGAAAGGCTTTCATGAGGAAATGATATAGGGCTGAGATTTGAAGGATCTGGAAGCCAAGAGAGAAGGGAAGAGTAATCCACATAGAGGGAACAGTGTATATGAAGATCTGGGATCAGGAAGAAGCACAAGGAATATGAGGGACCTAAAGAAGGCGAGTGGAACTGGAGTGGAAAGAAGAAGGGAGATGAAGTAAGAGAAGTCAACAGCGGCCAGGTGATGCAAGGCTGTTTATCATTGTTCTGAGATAATTTGGAGGGGAGACACTTAAGAGTTCCAAGGAGAATAGGGACATCTGGTTGCCTTTCCGGGTTGTGGAAGATCAGCTAGAAGTCAATGGCCATTGTTAGGCAAGAGGTGGATACTAGATTGGACTATAATGATGGTAAGAGGGAAAGAAAGAGATGTTTATAAGAAAATGTGGATAAGTATGATGAAATATGGTGGCATTGAATGAGAGTTGGGTTTCTGCTAATAGAGCTGGATGAATAATAGAGCCTGTGCATTGGGAGGGAAGGGATATGGGAAAGACAATCATGAGTTCAGTTTCAGAGAAGATGCCAAGGAGGCTGTAAGATATATTGTTGTGGAGGTAAGAAATGTCTGGGCTGGTTTTACAAATTGGCATATAGTTTGGAAATTACAGTAAAAGTCTGGATGATGGTAATTAGGTAGGTGACAAGAGCAGGAGTTCTTTACTGCAGATTACCATTATTTGGGGAGCTTTTTAAAAATGCTAAATAATACTTGGCTCCTTCCTCACCCAGCCACATCTCGAGTGTTCAATAGTCACATACTTCTTCTGGCTTCCATACTAAAAATCTCAGGCATAGAATGTTTTAAAATGGGAGATATGATCAACTGTATTTGATTTTGAGAGAGGCCAAGTAAGACGAAGACAAATGGTCCCTTGGATTTTGTGACACCAAGATCATTGGGATATTTCAGGAGTGTTGTTTGGTTGGTTAAAGGGGTTGTGTGAAGCCAGACAAGAGTGGATTGAGTCATGTGTGGGATATGGGGAAGTGGAGACAAGTGCAGATAAATATTTTGCCAACTCTGACCATGAACTAGGTGCAAAAAAAATATGTGGTGGTGGCTGGAAGGAGTGCGATATCAGGGAAGATTTTTAAAATTTCTTTATTTTAGGGTTTAATTTTTCAGACAGTGAAATGTACAAATGTTAAATGAACAGCTCAGTTATTGTTTTCTTTTCCTTCCTTCCTTCCTTTTTTTTTTTTTTTTGTCTGTGTGTGTGTGTGTGTGTGTGGCACTGGGGATTGAACCCAGGGTCCTCTATCACTGAGTTATACCCCCATCCCTTTGTTTTAATTTTTATTTTGAAGCAGGGTCTCCCTCAGTTGTGAAGGTTGTTCTTGAACTTAAGATCCTCCTGGGCTGGGGTTGTGGCTCAGTGGTAGAGCACCCACGTAGCATGTGTGAGGCCCTGAGTTCTATCCTCAGCACCACATAAAAATAAATAAAATAAAGATATTGTGCCCAGCTAAAAAATAAATATTTTTTAAAAATCCTCCTATCTCAGCCTTCTGAGTCTCTGGGATAACATAGATGCACTACTCACCTGGTGGCTATATGCTTTAGTAGATACTATCAGTTTTCCAAAGTGCCCACACTAATCTATGCTCTGCTTACAACGTGTGAGAATTTCAGTTGCTTCATATTCTTGCCCATATCAAACAGTCCTTTTAAGTTTAGCCATTCTGGTGGTTATTTAGTGGCATCTCATTGTGGTGTGAATTTGCATTTTTCCTGATGACTAATGATGTACACCTTTTTATGTTTATTGGCTCTTTGGATACATTCTTTTCTGGAGTACTTATTTAAGTCTTTTGCCAGTTAAAAAAAATTTGGCTTTCTGTTCTTTAATAGATTTGTGTGTGTGTGTGTGTGTGTGTGTGTGTGTGTGTGTGAGAGAGAGGGGGGGGGGCAGGGAGAGATTTTATCCCATCCTGTGGCTTGCCTTCTTATTTTTACTAGTGTCAATTGATGACCAGAAGTTATCAATTCTCAGTGAGATCCACTGTGTTTATTTCTTTTATGGTTAGGTTTTTTGTGTGTTCCATTTAAGAAATCTTAACTTACTCCAAAGTCATAAAGGGTTTCTTGTATTTTTTTTCTATAAGGTATTGTTAGGAAAAGCATTGCTTTACCTTTCATATTTAAGTTCACAATCCATCTCACTTTAGCCTCTAAATATGGATATGAAGTGGAGATTGATTTTTTTTCTGCATGGTACTTCAATCCACTCAGCACCATTCATTAAAAAGACCATCATTAAACAACCATTATTTCTTTCCTTCCTTCCTTCCTTCCTTCCTTCCTTCCTTCCTTCCTTCCTTCCTTCCTTCCTTTCTTTCCAGGGTTAGAGATCAAACCCATAGCCTCACACATTCTAGACAAGCGCTCTACCAGTGAACTACACCCCCAACCCCTTTTTCCTTAATTGCAAAGGCACTTTTGTCATTTATCAGGTGACCATCTGTGCTTGGGTCTTTTCTGGCTCTTATTCTCTTCCATGTGACTATTCTTGCAACTTTATAATAAATCTTGGCACTTGATAATGTAAGTCCCAAGGAAGAGGCTTTTTTTTTTAAAATGGGAGATATATGAACTTATTTTAAAAAAAACTGATGGGAAAGATCTAGTTGAGAATGAAGAAGGGAAAATAATCTATACCTTAAGGATTCTGAAAGACTACAGGAGCTGGGATCCAGGTGCTTGGTGAAGGACTGGCCCTAGATACTCATCTACTAATTTCATTCAATATCTATGTATTGGGTGGCACATTTACCAACACATTACTTTGTTAGGGACAGGGGTACAGCAGTGCTAGGACAGTCAAGATCCCTGTTCCAAAGAGGCACCCATTATGGTAGTGGGAAAAGACAAAAGAACAAGAAAACAAGGCAGCAGAAAATGCCATGAGGAACATAAACAGGCCATTGAGATGAAGACTACTGACCCAGCATAAGGAAGGACTCTCAGGGTCAATGACGCATGAATTAAGATTTGAACTAGAAGTGGCCAGCTGGGGATGTAGCTCAGTGGTAAAAACAAAAACAAAATTAAATTGAGTGAAGAGCATCCTAGACAGAGGGAAGATAACAGTGCAAAGCCCTTAGGCTAGTGTAAACTTCGAGCACTTGTGACAAATAAAAGATCACTCTGCCTGTGAAGGGAGAACACAGTTTTTATAAAGGGAACAAGGTAACCAAATGACATTACAAAGAGTGGTAGAGACCAGATAATGCCCAGGAAAGTATCTTTTGGGGTTGGGCTGAATGTGAATTTTCACAAATATGTGAGTTGGGTAGATTAGTTGTGAGTGGTGGGACTGCTGGTGTGTTGGGGAAAAGGGGGTGATGCATTTTGTCTCCTTCCTTTTGAAGCTGCTCTCATACTTGCCCTCTCTCCCTGCAGCCTCCTGAACGATGCCAGCCCAATGTCCTTTAACCTCCAGTCTGACCTTCCTGGTACTGCTGGGCACAGCCAGCGCAGGCCCCTTCCCTCCACGGTCGAATGTCACACTCCCAGCTCCACGGCCCCCTCCCCAACCAGGGGGAGGAAGCCCCTCTTCTCAACTTTACGAGCATACTATGGAAGGAGGGGAAAAGCAAGTGGTGTTCACCCATCGCATTAATCTGCCCCCCTCTGCTGGCTGTGGTTGTCCCCCAGGCACTGAGCCCCCTGTCCCTGCCTCAGAGATGCAGGCCCTGAGAATCCGGCTAGAGATCTTAGAGGAGTTGGTGAAGGGGCTCAAGGAACAGTGTACTGGGGGATGTTGTCCTGCTGCTGCCCAGGCTGGCACAGGTGAGCTGATCATCACAAGAGGAGGCACAGAAGAGAGGGTGGAGAAGAGGGTTAGAGTTGGGTGGCATCATTAGTCCATAAAGGATCTTGAATCTTGGTATGAATTACAAAAAGGCACCCCTTCCTTGCTATTAGGAGGGGTGGATGCAGCCCAGGGCACAACTTGGGGAGTAGAGCTGGGCTAGATGTCAACCCAAGCATTTGATAAGGTCATTAAGCAACTGAAAACTAAGTTGGCCTTATGAAATGAGGCTGGCCCTGCTGGAGGAGGGCACAGGAGCACTATGTAGGCTCAGTCTCTCTCCCTGCAGAGAGACTGAGGCCTGTCTCTCTCTCTCCCACTTTAGGCCAGACAGATGTTCGTAGCCTTTGCAGCCTTCATGGTGTGTTTGACCTGAGCCGTTGTGCCTGTTCCTGTGAGCCAGGGTGGGGTGGACCCACCTGCTCTGACCCCACAGAGTCTGGGATGTCCCCCTCCTCCCCTCCTGCAGAATCCGGGTCTTGTCCCGATGACTGCAACGATCAGGGTCGCTGCATCCGAGGTCGCTGCGTGTGTTTCCCTGGCTATACCGGCCCAAGTTGTGGTTGGCCTTCTTGCCCAGGGGATTGCCAAGGCCGAGGGCGCTGTGTGCAAGGTGTGTGCGTCTGCAGGGCAGGCTTCTCAGGCCCCGATTGTGGCCAGCGCTCCTGCCCTCGGAGCTGCAGCCAGAGAGGACGCTGCGAGGACGGACGCTGTGTGTGCGACCCAGGTTACACTGGTGAGGACTGTGGTGTGAAAAGCTGCCCTCGCAGTTGCAGCCAGAGAGGACGTTGTGAGAATGGGCGCTGTGTGTGCAATCCTGGCTACTCTGGTGAGGACTGTGGGGTGAAAAGCTGCCCTCGAGGCTGCAGCCAGAGAGGGCGTTGTGAGGCCGGACGCTGCGTCTGTGACCCTGGCTACACTGGAGAAGACTGCGGCGTGCGGAGCTGCCCTTGGGACTGTGGTGAGGGAGGGCGCTGCGTGGACGGCCGCTGTGTGTGCTGGCCCGGGTACGCAGGTGAGGACTGTAGCACCCGAACTTGTCCTCGCAACTGCCGGGGACGTGGGCGCTGTGAGGATGGCGAATGCATCTGCGACGCAGGCTACAGCGGGGACGATTGCGGCGTGCGTAGCTGCCCTGGCGACTGCAACCAAAGGGGCCGCTGTGAGGATGGCCGCTGTGTGTGCTGGCCGGGTTATACCGGGCCTGACTGTAGCGCCCGTGCCTGCCCGCGCGACTGTAGAGGCCGTGGGCGCTGTGAGAACGGTGTGTGTGTGTGCAACACGGGTTACAGCGGTGAGGATTGCGGTGTGCGCAGCTGTCCTGGGGACTGTCGTGGTCGTGGCCGCTGCGAGAGTGGCCGTTGCGTGTGTTGGCCTGGATACACGGGCCGGGACTGTGGCACGCGTGCCTGTCCTGGAGACTGCCGCGGGAGGGGGCGCTGTGTGGACGGCCGCTGTGTGTGCAACCCAGGCTTTACTGGCGAGGACTGTGGGAGCCGTCGGTGTCCTGGAGACTGCCGCGGACATGGCCGATGCGAGGATGGCGTGTGTGTATGCCATGCTGGATACTCAGGCGAGGACTGCAGTACACGCAGTTGCCCTGGGGGCTGTCGAGGGCGCGGCCAGTGCCTAGATGGGCGCTGCGTGTGTGATGACGGCTACTCCGGCGAGGACTGCGGTGTAAGGCGGTGCCCACGAGACTGCAGCCAACACGGCGTGTGCCAGGACGGTGTATGCACCTGCTGGGAGGGTTACGCAGGCGAGGACTGCAGCATCCGCACCTGCTCCTCCAATTGCCACGGACGTGGCCGCTGTGAGGACGGACGCTGTGTGTGTGACCCAGGCTACACCGGCCCCGTGTGTGCCACCCGCACCTGCCCAGCTGACTGCCGAGGTCGTGGGCGCTGTGTTCAAGGAGTGTGCATATGCCACACGGGCTATGGCGGTGAGGATTGTGGGCAGGAAGAGCCTCCCGCCAGCGCCTGCCCAGGGGGCTGCGGGCCCAGGGAACTGTGCCGCGCAGGTCAATGTGTATGCGTTGAGGGCTTCCGAGGCCCTGACTGTGCTATCCAGATATGCCCTCGGGACTGTCATGGCCGTGGAGAGTGTCGCCAGGGTAGCTGCTTCTGCCAAGATGGCTATGCCGGGGAGGACTGTGGGGAAGGTGAGTAGGCAGTCTTCTCCAATATGTTTGGGCAAGGACTGGGATTCTAGGACCAAGAGCCATCCAGAAAACCTAAAGCCTTGGGTGCCCAAGACGTGGAGGGAGATGGTGTAGGTGTTAGAGGGGTGGGAGTCAGAGGAGCCAGAATCCAGCAAGAAAAGCAGAACTATTGGGTGGAGGGGCAGTCAGCAGGTGAGACTGGGCTTCAGATCTCTGAGGAGCAGATTGGGGCTCCCTTTAGCTGCTTGTAAAGAGATTCTGTGTTTCTGGAGATGGGAAGATGAGGGAGACCCAGGCCCTGTTCCAGCCTCTACCAGCTTTTCCCCACCTACAGAGAGCAGGGGAAGGTCGGATGGCCTCTTGGTGTGGCCTTAAGTAAGAGGGGCTGTGGGGGTGGCTTCCTGGGGCTAACCAGCTTTTCCTACCCTGTTCTCCTGGGCAGAGGTGCCAGCCATTGAAAACATGAGGATGCACCTCCTGGAGGAAACAACAGTTCGGACAGAATGGACCCGGGTTCCTGGCTCTGTGGATGCCTATGAAATTCAATTCATCCCCACGGTGAGAAGGGGGCCAAGCTCCAGGAGTGAGCTGACTGAGTGGCACTGGCAGTATGTGTGGCAAGGGAGGGGGTCCTCACCTCATGCAAAAAGTTCATGTAATGAGTGGTTAAGCCCAGATGGCTGGAATCCTGAAGCTGCTGTACAGGCCTTCTTATCCTGTGCCATACCAGGCCTGGTGGCCTCTGCGACATCTCCAGCAAGCATTGGTCTAGTGCAGTTGGAACACTTCTAGCGATAGTGAGCTCAGTACTTCCTGAGGCTATACAGTCCACTGTTGGCCATCAAGGCTGGTCAGTTCATTTTGTTGATGAATCCAAATTTGCCCAAATTCTACCATCCATCCATTGGCCCAGCTGAGCATGCACCAGCTGCTGGAATATTTTTTGCTTTTTCCGTGTCCTGTACCATAGGCCTCCAGATATTTGGCAACATCAGCCATCAATTATATTTCATTCTCCCCAGGCAAAACCCTTCAGTTTCTTCACCCCTTCCCCCTAAGTTTTTGTTGTTTGAATTCATTACATTCTTGTGCTTCCTGCATTTTGTATGTTCCCCAAAAATGGCATCAGAGAGGAGCCCATTGGCTAACTCTGGATGCACCAGCACTTTTCTCAGAGTTGGCATATATTAACTTGTAGTCACAATACTGTCAGCATTTTGATCATAATTCTTTTACGTGTCTTTTAATTATAAAAGTCATCTGGGCCAAGTGCATAAAATGTAGAAAATACAGATAAGCAAGGAAAAAAGAAAAAAGGGAGGAAGGCAGGAAGGAAGAAAGAAAGGAAGGAAAGAGAGAAGACAACATTCAACTATATACACTTTTTAGTCTAAATATAGGTCTTTGCCTTTGACTCTGTTCAATGTTATCTTTCTTGGTTTAGGCCAAGCTGTCTAGGCTGTTGCAATAATTTGAGTCTGTGGACTTGTTCTTTCACCTTCATGACGCCAGCACATTGCAAAGCATTCTTTCTCTGCCTGCCTCCAACTTGCCATTAAAACCTTTGGGGAGCACAATAGGGGAAAAGCCTATGGCCTATTATTAGGGCCTTCCCTTTCTGTGAATTGAGCTTTTAGGATATGGCTGTTTCCCAGCTCTAAATCATCTGACATTTCTAGCATCCAACTCATGTTTTCCTGCATCATCCCCAAATGCCACAAGGGATGTGCCATGTCACCCTCATCTCCATCATCTTAACCAGGACTCTGGAAAAATAAATAACTCTCTGGGCCTAAAGCCTGGTCAGGTACTAGGACAGAAGGGATAGCTCAGAGATATTAGCTGTCATCCTTGCCCCCCTTTGCCTGTCTCATTATGTCCCCCAGGCTAGACCCCCCCCCCACCATGTCCTATCTCTTCTCACTCTCAGGCCAAAGAAGAGGCAGAAATCCCTAGTTTGTGATACAACCAAGGTATCTTGGGTTTTTTCTTCTGTTTAAAAGAAAAATTTGTGATAAAAATAATTTAATCACGAGACAAGAACTTGGCAGCTAAAGAAAAACAAATAATTCTTGGCTGCTCCACACTAAAACAAGCACTGCTAACATTTTAAAGTGTTTCTCCCACTCTCTTCTTCTATGTGTACATTATTTACATAGCTCTAATCCAAAGAGGGTGGGACTTTTAAAAGGAATTTTCCTAAGAAACTTCAGAGAAAGAAGAATTAAAATAAACACTGGAGATAAGAGAAGCTTTCAGAGACCGTTGTCTCCTGCTCTGAATAAATACAGATTTATCCTTGGGTGTTGTCAGGGGGTGCAGCTTGCCAGCCAAAGCCCTAGGCTTTGCCCTTTACTCTGAGACAGGGTGGTGCTGGGCCGGCCTGCTCCAGGCGTGGTCCTGGTCTCAGTTCATCTACTCTGCTCTGGATATGGAACTCTGTCATATTGTGGATCCCTTGTGGGCCTGGGTGTGAAAGAAGCTCCTGTTAATTGGTCCCTAAACACCCCTCTTGGATTCCACACCAGCCTGTGCTCCCAGTCCTTTCTTTGTGTAGCTGACCTCTACACTTGAGTCTTCTGTTTTGGCCACTGCTCTCTGTCCATTTCTGTTGGCATGGGACAGTGTTCAGTAGCTCACTGTCCTCTGACCTCTGCCATTTTCCTTGAAGCCTGTCTCTACTTCATCCCCTCCCTCTTTCTGGAAATACTTCTCTCTCAAAAATCCAAACTCTGCTATTCTTGGCCACAGGGCACACCTAGTTATTGGAATTATTTTCAGAACACAGAAGAAGAATGTCCCTCTTCTCCTTGCATATGTGGCATTGTTATTGTGACTCAGTGGGCCTCAAAGTGTATTCAGTGCTCCCTGGTCCTCAACATCAACATTACCTTGGGAACTTGTTAGAAACATATGGTATATCAGACTCTACCCAAGCTCTCTGCTCCAGAAAGTCTGCAAATGGATCTCAGTAACCTATGTTGTAACAGGTCCCCCAGGTGATTCTGATGGCCTCAAATCTGAGGATCATTACTTAAGAAATGCTGCTATTTTCCAAAATGTTGGCTGTTATGAGAGTGTGAGAGAAAGCATGGCATCCTAAGGGAGGTGATCCCTGCCTCAGAAAGAGGTTCAGGTATTCCTGGTCTGGGTGTATTCTGCAGCCTGGAAACACACTAGGCCAAGTGTTGGCTTGAAACAAGAGTGCACACACAGAAGAGTTTTTGCATGGGTCTTGTCTGAAAAGGGAGAGTGAGGGACCAGTCAAGATAGAGTCCTCCCTTTGAGGGAGGTTGACATTGAGAATAAAGTTAAAAATTCACCAAGAACAATTGCTGAGGGAACCAAGCTTTACCAAGGGGCAGAGTTAGCTGCCAGAATCTGCCTCCAGCCAGCAAGATGGTGCTGGGACACATGGGTTAGGCTGACCGTGGAACTTTCAGGGGACTGTTCCCAAATCTATCTCAGGAGGAACCAAATGGTGTCTACAGAATATAGACAGGCTATTCCACAGAGTGAAGGAAAACCCTGGGGATAGGCTTGCCTTAATGAAAGAACCAGGCTTAATCAGGGAGCACCCAAGTGTGGGGTGGGGGGAGGGAGAGGAGAGAAAGAAAAAACAAAAGAGACAGAGACAAGAGAAAGTAGGGGTGAGAGTAATGGGCAAATGGGTTCTGGGAAGGGTGAGACGTTACAGGTATTGAGTGAGGGCCAATCCAAGGTTTCCTAGCCTGGGATATCCGAGAGCAGCCTGAGTAGGACAGGAACAGGGATCGTGTGTGTCCAGGAAAGCTTTTCAACCCAGAAAACTCTGACAAAGCTTTATTTCATCCTCCACAAGAAATCTCTACGTGGCCTTCTCATCTGGTTTTATACTTTGGTATTTACTATGTTGATTTCCCCACAAGTCTCTTGGTTTAGGAGAGTACCTTTAGAAATTTCCAATCCTTCTTGGCTGAATGGAGGCATCCCCATCACGGCCAACATAGCTAAGCAGAACACAGTGTCCTCAGCAGCTGTCCTAGCTGGATAACCCAGTGAAATGCAGGGATGTTAGAATGCTCACAAATGTCCAGCTCTTCCAGCCTCCCCAGAGACTGGCACTCTGAAGATTCTGTCTAAAGCAGCAGCCCAAATTTCCTGTGAGGCCACCATATACAATCACACTACCTTAAATATACACTTAGAGAAGGGTTGTTTTCTCAAACTCACTTACTATACAAAGAGATTTATGTGGAGATCTATATTTAGCTACTAGAATATGAGCTACCCAAGGACAGGAACTGTATTTTTGTGTCTCCATTACTGAGCATGATTTCAGGTTCAAAATCAGCAATGAAGAAACATTTGTGAGCGGGCTATGGTATCCATGCCTGTAATCCCAGCAGCTCAGGAGGCTGAGGCAGAAGGATCACAAATTCAAAGCCAGCCCCAGCAACTTAGTGAGGCCCTAAATCAATTTAGTGACACTCTGTCTCAAAAGTAAAAAATGGGCTGGGGATGTGGTTCAGTGATTATATGCTCCTGCTATCAAAAAAGAAAGAAAGAAAAACATTTCTAGAACTTTGAGCCCATAGGCCTTGTTGTAAAGGGGTCTAGAAGCATGCTGAAGAGAAAAGTCCTAAAAAGAAATATCATGATACAGACCACAACCAAATTACACAGCCAGGGCAGGCATCTGCTGGAGATTCAGGCTGAGTAGACACTTGAAGGAGGAAGTGAGACTCAAAGGGGATCGTTAGTCTACTTCATTTGTTCTGAAAGGAACAAGTTTAGGAGAAGCCTCCTCCTACTCAGGTAGTTGGGGTTGCCAGGGGAAAGCCAGCAGGATTGTCGGGTGGGATTCTGGTAGATGAACAAAACAAAGAATGCCCAGGAAGAGCAAACCTGGGTTCACACTGCCTGGGCTCAAGTCCTTGCCACTATCTTGATTTGAGTGATAAGACACTTATCATTCTCAGTTTCCTCAACTGTAAAATGGGACCAATAGGACCTATCTCACAGAGCTGTTACAAGAATTAAGTGAGTTTGCCTAGCATGGTGGCTTATGCCTATAATCCCAGCAATTTGGGAGCCCAAGGCAGGAGGATTGCAAGTTTGAGCTCAGCCTCAGCAACTTAGTAAGACCCTGAACAACTTAGTGAGACTCTGTTTCAAAAATGAAAATTATTAAAAAGGGCTAGAAATGTAGATCAGTGATAAAATGCCTCTGGGTCCAGTACCAAAACAACAACAACAAAAAAGAATTAAGTGAGTTCATATTTGTAAATTGCCTAGAATAGCAGCTAGCAGGAAGTAAGGCTCTGGACATGTTTGCTGTTACTTGCCTGCTCCCAGCTTGTACAGGGCAAAGTTCCACACAGTCCCATGCCGGCACTGTTCAGAATTGGAAAAAGAAGAGATATAGGGGGGAATTGGGCAAGAGTACCAGCCTCTGATCCACCTGGTACTCTCTCTCACAGACAGAGGGGGCGAGCCCCCCATTCACAGCGCGGGTGCCCAGTTCTGCCTCAGCCTATGACCAGAGAGGACTGGCCCCTGGTCAGGAGTACCAGGTCACTGTCCGTGCCCTTCGAGGGACCAGCTGGGGTCCTCCTGCTTCTAAGACCATCACCACCAGTGAGAGCTGGAACTGTGGGGGCAGGGTTCTGGGTGGAAGTCTGGGTTTGAGAGGGACAGCTGTAGGCCTGTCCTGTGGGAGGCAGAGGGATGGGGTGGGATGGGGGCTCGGGTCTTGGAAGGAAAGCTGATGACTGAAGAATCAGAATCCCACATGAGCCCTCCTCTCTCCAACTCAACTAGTGATCGATGGTCCCCAGGACCTCCGCGTAGTGGCTGTGACACCGACCACCCTGGAGCTCAGCTGGCTACGACCCCAGGCTGAGGTGGATCGATTTGTGGTCTCCTATGTCAGTGCTGGAAACCAGAGGGTACGGCTGGAAGTTCCACCCGAAGCGGATGGGACACTGCTTACCGACCTGATGCCAGGCGTGGAATATGTGGTGACTGTCACTGCAGAACGGGGTCGGGCAGTCAGCTACCCAGCTTCTGTCAGGGCCAACACAGGTATGGCCAGCCAGGGGTTAGGGAAGGGCCCTAATTTCCATGACAGGGAGCCCAGGTCTAAGGTTCACAGTCTCCTCTGAATGCATTTGGCAGGGTGTGTGGCAATCCCCAAACACCTGTTGCTCTGTTCTGAAGTCACTGAGGACACAGTTGCTTAGAGTCCTATAGGTTAGACTATGGGAGGAACTACCTCATGGAAAGGAGATGCTCTCTGATCCACCCAGATAAGGAGGGTTCTTATCCCAATTTAGGTACTGAAGCAGTGGTGCTGAAAGTCAGATCTTGTAGGAACTGGATTCAGGCAGATTATAAATCAGCAGTCCTGTTGACTTCAGGATTTTGGTCTCCAAGAGTTGGGTCTCTCCGCCGTAATTTTCCACTAACCCTCAAAGTTTCTTTTTCTTTTTTTCTTTTTTTTAAAGAGAGAGTGAGAGAGGATAGAGAGAGAGAGAATTTTTTTTTAATATTTATTTTTTAGTTCTCAGCAGACACAACATCTTTGTTGGTATGTGGTGCTGAGGATCGAACCCTGGCCGCACGCATGCCAGGCGAGCGCGCTACCGCTTGAGCCACATCCCCAGCCCTCAAAGTTTCTTAACAGATGCCTGGATCTTTCTTTTCTTTTCCTGTGACAGGGGGACGCTCACTTCGTTGTAGCTCACATTTTCTTCTTACTCCCCTTTCTCTCCTTCAGATACAGGGCCCCGCCTGCTGGCTTCTCTTTTCTTTCTAGGGCACCAACAGTGGTGGGCTTGGAGGGTGAGGGGAACTGACTCATTGCTCTGGTTCTGTTTCCAGGTGGGGCTGGGACTCAGGGGAGAGGCCTCTGGCTCTGATGGGGACGGGAGGGGGAGGAGCCGCGGTGGAGTGGAGTACAGGGTGCGGCCACTGACCAGCTCTCCCCTACCCCTTTTTCGTCCCCGGCAGCACCAGGCCACTACAGTTACCCGGAGGTGCACCCCCCAGCCCCGCCCCCCAAGCCCCGTCCCCGTCCTGCCCCTGCCTCACGGCCTCTGCGGCCAGCTCCGCCCTCGGGGCCAGCAGAGGAGGGCGAGGAGGAGTCCCGCCCAGGGCCCAACCTGCCTCAGCCCTCGAGGCGGGCGTGGGGCAACCTGACCACCGAACTGGGCCGCTTCCGCGGCACGGTGCAGGACCTGGAGCGCCACCTGCGGGCTCACGGCTACCCACTTCGCGCCAACCAGACCTACACGTCCGTGGCGCGCCACATCCATGAATACCTGCAGCGGCGTCGGGCAGCCGCCGCCCCCGCCGGCTCCCCGGCCCCCCAGCCCCGTCGCCCCCACCCTACCGCCAGCCCCGCTGCGGGCACCTGGAAGCGGGACTCCAACCAGGGCATCTACGGCCTCTCCCCTGAAGGCGTCGACCGGTTGGCCGCGCCTCGCCACCCCAAGCCTGAGGTGCTGGGCAGTTCAGCTGACGGCGCGCTCCTGGTGTCGCTTGATGGGCTCCGCGGCCAGTTCGAGCGCGTGGTGCTGCGCTGGCGGCCCCAGCTGCCTGCAGAGGGCCCCAGCGGGGAGCTGACTGTGCCGGGCACCACGCGCACAGTCAGCCTACCCGACCTCAGGCCTGGCACCACCTACCACGTGGAGGTCCACGGGGTACGGGCAGGGCAGACCTCCAAGTCCTACGCCTTCATCACAACCACAGGTAGCGTGGGCTGGGGCGGCGGGACTACCCATCTCCTGTCCCCAGCACCACCTGCCTTGGAGCCTGCAGCCTCACTTCTATGACTGCCAACCCCCACCACCACACCCTTCTACTTTCTGGCCCTCCCTGGCCCAGGCACCAGGGGACACCCCCACCCCACCCCTACAAAGCACACCCTCCAGTGTCCCTGGAAACCACCCTCACCCCAGAGCTCTGGTATCATTCTATGGCCTTTGGGGTTCCCTTGTTTGCATCTGGGTTCCCACCTAGACCAGGATTGCTGTCCTAGGTAATGAAAGGGGTATCTGGGATAATGGCTTGTGCAGCCTATCCTGCTCTGAGTGGCGTGGGTTGAAACCAGTGATTCTCTGATTTATTGTGGTGAGGGTGATGAAAGACTGTGGCCTGTGGTTATTTCCCACAACTTGGCCTTGACTATGAAGGGACATTTGAGAACTGCTTGAGGGTGTCCATGAAGCCATCAGGCAGCATGTGTATGTAGGGGTGAAACCACTGCTTATTAAGCTGTGTTTTCAGTCTTCCTGGCTCACTACACGCTTGTCTCTCCCACAGGAACCATGTCTGGGCTGGGGGAAAGGGTGCTCTATGGCTGCAGTGGGTGTGTGTGGAGGGGTAGGGGTGGTACTCTTCTTCCCCCATAGAGCTCAGATGCCACTTGACCTGGACGTCTACCCCCGTGCTCTCTTTCCTCTTTTCTACTGCCCATTCTCTTCTTGCATCCTCCCTCCCTAACACCACGGTCCCCTACTTTCTTCCAGGCTTCTCACTGCAGCACTAATGGAAGCCGGACCTCCACTCAGTAGGGAGAGGGAAGTGGGTGGGGAGGGACATAGAGGGCATGGAAGCCTTATGAGGAGTGGGATGGCAGGCTTTATCTATTTACTACCTGCCCTAAGCACAAGCCTGTCTGCTCAGGAAAATGGTAGATGGGGGTGCTTGAAAGACAGAAAAAAACTTTGGGAGGATATGGGGGGGGACCAGGAATATAAAAGGGGAGGTTCCCCAGGAATATAAAAGGCTGAGAATTCCTTTCTGGTTCTCATGTTCCACTCTCCTGTTTTTCTTGCCCTGCTCTGCCCCTTCCCAGGGTCCTCACCCTCGGGCCTCTTGGGGGCTACTGATGAGCCTCCTCCCTCAGGCCCCTCGACGACCCAAGGGGCTGAGGCCCCTCTCCTGCAGCAGCGCCCCCAGGAGCTGGGAGAGTTGAGGGTACTGGGCAGAGACAAGACAGGGCGCCTCCGTGTGACCTGGACTGCCCAGCCCGACACCTTTGCCCACTTCCAACTGCGCCTGCAGGTGCCCGAGGGCCCGGGGGCACATGAAGAACTGCTGCCAGGGGACGTCCGCCAGGCTCTGATGCCCCCGCCCCCTCCTGGAGCCCCCTACAAGCTGTTACTTCATGGGATCCCCCCTGGGGGCAAGCCCTCTGTTCCCATCACCTACCAAGGCGTTATGGGTACTTCCTGAACTCTGCTCAGATCAATGTCCTGAGATTGGGGGAGAAACGGGGGCAGTCAGAACTTTAGAAATGAGATGGGGATTCTGGAGCCGGTGAAGGAAAGAGCTGATGTTGGGGGCTGGGTTGTAGGAGAAAAAAGGATTCTGGGTTCAGAGGGAAGACAGTTGGAGGGGATCTTAGAACAATGATGAGGGTGGTGGAGTGGGAGGAAAAAAGTTAGAGGGTGAGACAGGAATCCAAGGAGAAAGGCTGTAGGCTCCTGGCCACCACCTGCAACTTTCTTTGACCTGTGTCTGCCCCCTACTTTCTGGTTGTTCCTTGCCCTACCCTTCCCTATAGATCTCTCAAAGTGGACTTGAAGAGACCTCTGGCCCTTAGGATACTGACCCTCAGCCCATGATACCTCCTCCCTGGGAGTCTGGCTTGCTGTGGACAGAACCCTATGGTTCCATCAGCTAGATTCTGCTGGGGTTGGAGGCTCCTTGAGGGCTAGAACTCCTCAGCCATCAGGACTTCAGAGATGGGGGATATTTTCAGGACCAGTGAAAGACCGGGCTGGGGTACCTGGCTCACATCCCTTTTGGTCCTCACTATGGGACAAGGGTGGCTGACTTTTACCTCAACTCTAAGTCAAGCTGACCACTGGGAGAGGGATGGCAGGGGAGAGAGCAGCTCAGATGGGCCAGGGAGCCTTCACACTCTTCTGGAGCAACAGTGGGGTGGTTAAAAACTCGGGCAGAACCAAAGGAGAACTGAAACTCCCACCAAAATCCTGGTGTGCAGAGGAGCTAAGCTTTGTGAGAGGTGGAGAAGTTGTCACAAGGGAGGGAATAGAAATTGAGGGGGGAAATATTCCTCTTCCCAAGAAGGTTGGTCATAGAGGGCCGAGGGATAGGTAGATGGAGGTTTCCAAGGGACGCAGTGCTAGGATGGAGTAAAGTAGGCAGAGAAGAGGGAGGGAGAAGGGGGATAAGGAAATGGTTTGAGTCCACCATGCTTTGCTTTTGCCCCCACCATAACTCCAGACAGGGATGGAGAGAAGCCTAGGAAGTCCTTAAGTCCACCACGCCTGGGTGAGCTGACAGTGACCGACGTGACCTCTGACTCCCTGCTCCTGCGTTGGACAGTCCCTGAGGGGGAATTTGACTCCTTTGTGATCCAGTACAAAGACAGAGATGGGCCCCAGGTGATGCCAGTGGAGGGGCCTCAGCGCTTGGCCCCCATCACATCCCTGGAACCTGGCCGAAAGTACAAATTTGTCCTGTATGGGCTCGTCAACAAGAAGAGGCATGGTCCCTTAGTGGCCGAAGCCAAGATCTGTGAGTGAGAAGAAACACCCCATACCTGCCCACTGTACCATCATAAAAGAGGCCTTCCTCATGCTCTGGGAAGCTGCCTTGGGGCTCAGGAAGGCTTGCTACAGGCAGCAAGGCCTGAACTGCATCCCAAAGGGAAAACAGTATGGGGCAGCGGGAGGGAGTGGTCCCTAGGAGAATCAATGTCACTGTTTCCTCTGGCTGGAGAGCAAGGCATGTGGGGAGTTCAAGGCCCTGGTCTACAGCTCTTTTGCTGTGCGAAGGGTGTGGACCTCATTTGAGGACCCTAGGGAACCTCTGGGCCGTTTAAAGTGATTAGGTGTTTATCTCACAAATAGTACTGTGACTGCTGTAGAGGCTGACTGGAGAGTGAGTCAGCTGGTGAGGCATGGGGGCCTGGCTGGGATGATGGCAGTGGGGTGGATGTCGAAAGTGAAGGAAAGCAAAGAGGCCCAGGCAAACCCTGGGTTCCCAGATCAGTTCTGTTCCTTGAGGCAGGGAGCAGCAGCTGGGGAACAATGTAGCGTGGGACGCTTCCATAAACACCTTTTGAACATTTATTGAGTCAGATGCCTTCAAGATGTTCTAAGTGAATGATCATACTTACTGCTTAGAGCAGTCTAGCAAGGCATGCCCACTTCATGGATGAGGAGAATCAAGCACAGGGAGGGGAGGTCACCCAAGTAGAAAATGGCCAGGGCCTCCAATTGCTGTCCTGGTGGGCCTAGAGAGGAGAGAGAAGGCCTGCTGAGGGGCCTGGGCATCAGTGTCTGAAGGCAGGAGCCAGAGAGAGGAGAGGTGAACCAATGGAACTCTGGGGTCAAAAACATTCCAAGCAGGAGCAGAGGAAGAGGATCCCATGGAGTAGCCTGAGGGGTGACTGTCAGGGATGGGCAGAACCAGGGAGGAGAGTGGTGTCCTGGATGCCAGAAAAGAGGGTGTGGTCAGTAGGTCCAGATTCTGGAAGAGTGATTCAGGGGCTACTGAATGGCAATTAGCAATGGTAAGGTCACACTGGCACCATGGAGCTGCCTGACAGAGGGATGGAGCTGGGTTGGGACATGGTTGCAATTAGTGTGGCTTTTGGAAACCTAGGCTGGGAATAGAAAGCAAAGAGGGAAGGTAGAGGTTAGAGAAAAATGCAGGCAGAATGTGGGGGCGAGGGACAAGAGCATGTTTAAATATTGAAGGCCACATTGGTAGGGAGTCAGGGGCTGGTGATACAGAGTGGGCATGGCAGGTGAGTTGAAGCCCCAAGGAGGAGGGTCCAGAGCACATAGTGCCACCCTCTGATACCGACAGTTTCCCAAGGATCTATCCTTTTCTCTTCAAGGAGAAACCAGCTATGAGTTAGGCTTGGAAGCAGTGAAGGTTGCACTGGGGAAGTTTTCCTGGCTGTGGAGATAAGGGAAGGCCTGGCTGGGTGCCCCACTTTCTGAACCCCTTGGTTGTGACAAAGTCAGCACTGCATCCACAGGGATTTTGTGCCATTTAGATGATGGCACCCTTTTTTAAGTGAACAAACCTGCTCTGCAGGGTACTTAGCTCGGCAAGCAGAGTGATGGTTGGATTTCAGTGCCATTGTACTCCCTAGGTCATGCACCTTTGTGCATTGAATAGCCTGCCCAATATCACACAACATTCCTATGTGGGAGATGGGTTCCCCCTTCTGCTGTGACCCACCTTCTCTCAACCTTCTCTTCCTAGTGCCTCAGAGTGATCCCAGTCCAGAAACCCCACCCCGTCTGGGAAAGCTATGGGTAACAGACCCTACTCCAGACTCACTGCACCTCTCCTGGACTGTCCCTGAGGGTCAGTTTGACTCCTTCATAGTCCAGTATAAGGACAAGGATGGACGGCCCCAGGTGGTACCTGTGGAAGGACCTGAGCGATCAGTCATCATCTCCCCCTTGGACTCTGATCACAAGTACAGATTCACTCTCTTTGGGATTGCTGATAAGAAGCGGTATGGCCCCCTTATGGCTGATGGCACTACTGGTGAGTATCGCCACCAAAGCCCCCCACATGACCCCTCTCTCTCTCTGCACACTTACCGTCAGCTAGGAGCCAGCTGGGGCCTCCCAGAAAGGTGGCTGACTCCACCATCCTGGCCCTGCTCCCAGGCTGAGGGGCAGCCAGCCTCTCCCACACTGCTGGGCTTCATCCATTCCATTCAGCTACTCCCCAAGGCCCAGAAGGTGTGTCATACTCTGGCTGTACTAGACTTCCCAGGAGTTCAGCTCTAATACTAATAGAGTAGTGACACCTCCCCCCTCAGGTACTATGTTTAAACCCCAAACCCCAATCCAAGGCTTCCAACTCAGCATCTGGTTAAATCCTCTTGTTTACAGCCCCAGAGAGGCAAGAAGAGCCCCCTCGCCCTGAGTCCCTTGAGCAGCCCCTTCTGGGGGAATTAACAGTGACTGGCGTGACCCCAGACTCCCTGCGCCTGTCTTGGACTGTGGCCCAGGGCCCCTTTGACTCCTTCGTGGTCCAGTACAAGGATGTGCAGGGGCAGCCTCAGGCAGTACCTGTCAGGGGAGATGAAAATGAAGTCACAGTCCCTGGCCTGGAGTCCAACCGGAAGTATAAGATGAACCTCTACGGGCTTCATGGCAGGCATCGTGTGGGGCCCGTGTCTGTAGTGGCCAAGACGGGTGAGTCAGCTGCACAGGCCTCCCTCCCTGCTTATCCCCGAACTCTGAGTGGAACCTGGCCAGCTCCACCTTCTTTTTCTCAGCTCCTCTTTTGACAAAGCCTCTACTGTCTTCCTTCTCCTCTGCTCTTCTGTCCTCCACATTCCAGAACTCCTCTTCCAGCCTCTAGCTCCTAATCTCTTTCTTAGCCTTGTTTCTCCATCTCAGAGCAGGCCCCAGTTTAACTCATTCCAAGTATCTGGACTCATCCCTCCACCCCAGGCTGCCTTTACCTGCAACCACTGTATTCTCATCTCTCTTTTTTTACTGTGGGATCCATCTGGGCCTCAGCTAGAACCTAGTCACTTCTGCACTTGTGTCACTATTCAGTGCATTACTGTTCTGTACAGAGGTGGCAGATCCAGGAGATAAGGAAATCATGTTTCCCTGGCCACCTCGTGCATGGAGAGGACTCTTTCCAGCCCACCTCCCTGATTCCCAACCATCTTGCAGGGGAGCAAAGGACTCACTTTCAGCCCTGCATCCTAGCCTGTTCCTCCGCATCCTCAGCTCCTCTCTGTTGGATGCCATGATCACAGCCCAAGATGCCACTGCCAACAAGTGGTGTGGCAAAGTGGTTTGGAGCATGGACTCTGGAACCAACTGGTTCTGAATACCAGCTTTGCAACTTCCTGCCAGGGGACTGTGTGCAAGTTACTTAACCTCTCTGAGCCCCAGCTTTCCTTTCTGTAAAATGGAGGTAACATGGTGACCACTACACAGAGTTGTTAGAAAATACAGTGAAGATACATTCAGTACCTGGAGTGGTGTCTGACCCATGGAGACTGGGGCTGTTCCTCATTGCTCTTGCTCTTTCTAGTAACCTCTTTTTTCTCCTCTCCTCCCTGCCTTCCCATCCTTGCTTGGGTTCTAATTCTTGCCTGCTTCCTGCTCAGTCTCCTTTCCCTTACATAGCGCCCCTGAACCAAGGAGGGGTCACAGAAGGGCTGGTTTCCCTTGTGCCACAGTCTCCCTAGTCCATTGAGCCCTGCAGAGACTTCCTTGGAGGGGACTGTGGGTGGGGATGTGATTTCAGAGCCAACCAAGGAAGAGCAGGTCCCTCCCCAGCCCCTACCCATCTGAATCTTTCCCCTACTCTTGGCCGGAGCCCTACCTTAGCAGTTCAAACTAAGGGCTCAAGGGGAGAGAGGAGGAGGCCTGGAGAGGAAGCCTTACCAAGAACTCATTCCATGGTCTCATTTTGGTAAGAGGGATGGGGCTGCCAAAGCACCCTGTGAGTGGACAAGGTGGTAAAAATCCTCCCCATCCCTCTGTTTTCTGAGGTCAGTACTGTCAGGGATAGGATCTGGAAGGATCCTCAAAGGGGTCCTGTCTTTTCGAATCAGCTTCTTTTTGAACCACCAGCACACTCCCAGCAGCAGACAGGCTGATCCTTCTCCATCCATGAGTACCTGGTTGGCTAATACCAAAGGCTACACAAGCCCCTATGCACCCTAGGAGCATATCTGTAGGCTGGATGTACTGCATTGTTCCCATTGATGGCAAACCAAGTCACCCTTAATGCCTGTGTGCCCCTGTCTCTTTTCTCAGCCCCACAGGAGGTTGTAGATGAGATCCCCAGTCCTACAAAACCCAATATGGAAGTCCTGGAAACACCTGAGCAGCCACGCCTTGGGGAGCTGACTGTGACAGACTCCACCCCTGACTCCCTGAGTCTCTCCTGGACAGTGCCCGAAGGACAGTTTGACCACTTTCTGGTCCAGTACAAGAATGGGGATGGACAGTTCAAGGTAGTGCGGGTGCCAGGGTATGAAGACGAGGTCACCATCTCAGGGCTGGAGCCAGATCACAAGTACAAGATGCACCTGTATGGCTTCCACAGTGGCCAACGTGTGGGCCCCATGTCTGCCACTGGGGTGACAAGTGAGTGATCTGGTGGGAAGTTGACCCTCTAACTCTTTGGTGATAATTGAACAGGACATGGTGGCAGGGGCTTAGTTGAGTAACCACACAGGTCTGCTTATAGCTGAAACTGTGGTCCCCTGTGTGCTTCCCCTGGGGTTGACCTCTGTCTCCTCCTGGGAAGGGAGGCACCAAAGGGACCTGTGCTATGCTGGGGGCTTCCCCAGTTCCCTACAGCTGACCAGGAGCTTGGGCATGCTTGTCAGTTTTCAGCACAGCAAGGCCTTGGAGCCCCAAGGATGACCTCAGGTCTGCCAATGGGGACCATAGCTTCTCACTCCTTCCTCAAGACCTGGGCACATCTCTTAGAGAACCTGCCTCACCCCCCCTCTCTCTCCTTCTCAGCTGCAGTGGAAGAAACCCCCAGCTCTATAGAGGTGGAGACCCCCAGCCCCACAGAACCCAGCACGGAGGCCCCAGAGCCCACCGAGGAGCCACTGCTGGGGGAGCTGATGGTGACAGGAACCTCCCCTGACTCCCTGAGCCTCTCCTGGACTGTGCCCCAGGGCCAGTTTGACTCCTTCACCATCCAGTATAAAGACAGGGATGGGCAGCCCCAGGTGGTGCGTGTTGGAGGAGAGGAGAGAGAGACCACTGTGGGGGACCTGGAGCCTGGACGCAAGTACAAGATGCACCTGTATGGGCTCCACCAGGGCCACCGCGTGGGCCCCATGTCTACTCTGGGCATGACTGGTAAGTGAGGAAGGGTCTGACTCAGTTCCCTCTCACAGCTGATCCTGACTTTCTGTAGCCAGTTGCTCTCATTCCAGTGAGGCCACGAATTTCTGCCTCTTGGGAAGACCTAGTAAGAGCAGGTCATGGTGGGAATTGGGGCTACATCTGTTGGGGCTACAACCAGTTTTTGTGACTGTCTGCCAGTTTTGTTTCCTTTGTTTCTTTGTCTTAAAAAGCAGATAATACCTACTTCATGGAAATATTGTGAGGATTAAATGAGTTAACAAATATCAAGTATTAAGAATGGAGCTGCGGGGCTGGGGTTGTGGCTCAGCAGTAGAGCGTTCACCTAGCACGTGCGAGGCCCTGGGTTCAATCCTCAGCACCACATAAAAAATAAATAAACAAAATAAAGGTATTTTTTTTTAAAAAATGGGACTGGGTGTGGTGGTGCAAGCCTGTGATCCCAGAGGCTCAGGAGGCTGAGGCAGGAGGATTACAAAGTCTAAAGCCAGCTTCAGCAACTTAACGAGGCCCTAAGCAATTTATTGAGACCCTGTCTCAAATTAAAAATAAGAAGGGCTGGGGATATGGCTCAGTGGTTAAACACTTCCGGGTTCAATCTTCAGTGCCAAAAATAAAGAATGGACATGGTGCTGGGTTTCTTGCTATGGTCATAATTGTCCCTACTCTGGGATCTGCTTTGTTCCCCTAGCTGGGTCAGCTACGTAATTGGTAATAATATGTGTCAGACAGTGGGCTATTCATCAGCGCCACTCAAAATTTTTCTTTTTTTGAAATATGTTTTTAGTTATCGATGGACCTTTAATTAATTAATTTATATGTGGTGCTGAGAATCAAACCCAGTGCCTCACATATGCAAAGTGAGTGCTCTACCACTGAGCCACGACCCCAGCCCTCGAAACTTTCTTTAATGATCATCCAGCAAATGACTTTACAGCAAAAAAGAATATTTCTCCCACCCTTTGTCTCAGGCCAATTATGGGGCCACATTGGCCAGCATAAGGACCTATCCTGGGCACTTTGTCTGCAGAGCTTCATCCAACAAGGCTGAGGATGCCTCTGGGACCCTTCTGCTGACCTGCCCAGCTTGGTCACAGTGAAGGATGTCTTTTTTTCCCTTTGATTACTGAAACATAGGCACAAATGTTTTAAAAACAGCTTTTGCTATAAGAGAAAATATTAAAAACTTAAAAGACAGAGAAACAAATAGGTTTCTAGAACATGGTTTCTGTAGTTGCACAAGGATCAACTTCATAATTACTTGGATTATTTAGTTTCTAGAGCCTTCTACTCCCAAATTCTTTTCTTTGCCTCTGAAGAGGAGGAACCACCTCAGTTACCCTCCTCATCACCTGATGTAGTGAAGTAGAGGGTTGTGCCATGCCCAGAGCCTACTGCCAAGGTCTCTCCTGGGGTGACTGTTGGCCTGTCCCTCTGTCCCAGGTAGCCACACTAGGCTTTGTGTGGCCTTGTCCTTGGTCTGTGGGGTAAGGGTGAGCCCTTTCAGGTAGTGACTAAAGTGCTGCAATAGAGGAAGATTGAGTTTTGAAATCTGATAAACCCATTTCCATTCTTGGCTTTCCCATTCTTAGCTTGATCTTACGAAATTTACCTCCTCTCCTGGAACCTCAGCTTCCTCATCTTCAAGATAGAGAAACATGGTCCACCTTGTTGTAAGTGTGAGAGGTGCTGATTTCTCAGCTCATTTGACTTTTTCTCAGACCCTTCTATAGAAAGATCACTGTATGTCCGTGTTCTAATGCTAGAATTTTTTTTCTTTTCTGGAATTGGGGATTGAACCCAGGAGATAGGGTTTCACCAAGTTGCTTAAAACCTCTCTTAAGTTGCTGAGACTGGCTGTGAACTTGTGATCCTCCTGCTTCAGCCTCCTAAAGCTGCTGGGATTACAGGTATGCGCCATGGCGCCCATCAGATGCTAGATATTTTAAAACATGTACTTTACATGTTTGGATAATATAGAAGTGGCCCTTTAAAAAGAGAATGGGACAGAATGTTTACCATCAGGGCAGCAAGGAGCTGAAGCAGCTGGAGCCTGCTGAGTAGGCTGAGGGCTGTGCCTGGCACACAGCTCGTGCTGTACCGTTGCCAGGAGAAGCACTGCATGGAGCTAGTTAGAAACACTTCTAATTTGGCAAAAGACTATCCTTGATGCAGCATGGAGACTGTCATATACATGAATAGTTATAATGTTACCTTTTCCAGTTAAACCGAATTATTAACAATCAGGCTTGATGATGAGGGTCAATTTCTTCCCTGATGGAAAGAAGTACAGAGAAGGCAGAAACAAAAGGAAACGGATTTTACAGGAACCAATAAGGTCAAAAGGCAAGTGAAACGAAAGAAAATGCCAGGCCTGGTAACTGTACAAGGAAGATGTTTAATATATGCTGATTGCTCTGGTCCCCTCACCCGCTTCAGCTACCTCTGTTCCTGTCCTTCTCACCCACACTCACTTTTGTCTGCCTGAAGCCTGGTTCCTGGTACATTTTAAGCAGATTTCACTTGTCTGGAGTGTAGTCTTATCCTCCCATGGAAGTCAGAGAAACAGGCTCTTGGGAGTCCCACTCAGCCAGCCACTCTCTCCACCAGTTTGCCTCTTGGCACCACCTTCCAGTTTGCTCACTAATGAAATACCTCTCTGCCAGACTCGGCTTTCTCTGGAGCACTGAGGATAGGCAGGTCCTGAGCTCAGTCTTCCTATCCCAGACCTACACACCACTTGTGTATTTAACAAGCATTTGCTTGGGGACCCTCTGTGTGCTGGGCACTGGGACACAGCAGTGTGAACAATGCAAAACTGCTGCCTGTGGAGCTCACAGTCTAGAAGAGGAGAACAGGAAACCACTTGGACAAATAATGTCAGCTGTGCCATTTGTGATGGGAACAAAATCAGTGGGGGAAAACAAAGCCAGTAGGTAAAGGTAGTAAGGACCTTGCTACACAGTATCTAAGGAAGGACCTGAAGGAGGGGAGAGAACGCCACATTGATCTTTGGGAAAATGTGTCCCAGACAGAGGGAAAAGCAAATGCAGAGACTGGCAGGTGGCAAGAGGCCCCAAATGTCTGAACCAGCAGGGAGCTCAGCATGATTTGGATAGAGTCAGGGGAAGGCAGGCAATAGGGGACTACATGAGACATGAACACATAGGTAGTTGGGAGCCATTTTAAGAAGTTGGCTTTTACTTTAAGTGAGCAGGAAGCCACTGTGAGATGGTCTCTCCCCTCTGGCTGTAGATCCAGCAGATCAAAGGCAGTTAGGGCTGAAAGAAAGAGGTGATGGGGAGACTGTCGTGATGACCCAGTAAGAGCCCATGGTGTCTAGAGATGATGGTGGTGGAGATAAGGAGGAGCCAGATCCTTAAGAAAGTGAAAACAGGACTTACCCTTGGGACACTGTGGGAGAGAAGAAAGAACATGGGGATGACACCATAGATTTTGACTAGAGCAGCTAGAAGAACAAGGTTGTCGTTTGACTGAGGTGGGAAGGCTACAGAGGGCACAGGTGTCAGGGGAAGCTCAGGAACTTGGTTTTGACTTGTTGCATTTGAGACCAACGATGTATCCAAGGAAGATGTTGAATAAACATGACTCTGGGGGATAGAGGAAGTTTCTGACAGGATATAAATTTTGTCACTGACCTACTGATGGGATTTCAGCCATTTTTCCAATCTTGATGACAATTGATCCCCCTCCCCCAGCAAGCACAATCTCATCTGGCAGGGATTTAGTGAAGGATAGTTGGCCAGAAAGATGTTGCTAATCAATGCAGTTTTACATCAAAACTACCCCATGGGTGCACAAAAGCAACAGAAAGGTCCTTTCCTAACAGTCCCCTGCCAACTTTGACCCAGCCCCATAACAGAAGAAGCAACCCCTCTAACTACCAAACCCCCCTGGAACCATGCCTTGGGGGAATTAACAGTGACAGATGTGGCCCCCAATTCCTCTCCTGGACTGTCCCTGAAGGCCAGTTTTACTCCTTTACGGTTCAATACAAGGACAGGGATTGGCAACCCCAGAAGGTCCTGTGGCTGCAGACCAGCTTAAAGTCACCATCCCCAACCTAGAGCCTACAGGAAAATACAAGATGAACTACTGTGGGTTACATGGCAAGGAACACATGCCCCCCCATCTCTGTGGTAGCTGTGATGGGTGAGTGAGTGGGAGTGAGGCAGTTCTCATTCCTATTATCCAGAGCTGCCCCCTAAGACCCCTCTCCAAGCCACCATCCCTCACTGAAGAGTTAGGCTGCTCAGGCTGTGCCTCAGTGACTCTGCAGGTCCCTTTCCAGCCTCCTAGACATCTTAGTCTGTTCTCCGACCCCTTAGCCTCTCCCTGGAGCTAGAACTTTCCCACCCTTCAGTGCCTTCCCCATCTCCTGCCCTCAGCAGGCCAGAATGATGTCATCCTTCCATTTGGCCTAAATCCAGTCTCTCTCTCTCTCTTCCACCCTCTCTGATTGTCCACAGCTGTTTCCTCCCCATCTCTTTTACAACCCTGTGACTTGGATGCGGCTGCCACCTCCCCCCTCTTCCCCCACTTTTTTTTCCTTTCTTTTCTTTTTTTAATGTGTATGGTACTAAGGATAGAACCCAGGGCCTCACACATGCTAGGCAAATGCTCTACCACTGAGCTACATCCCCAGTCCAGTTCTTTAATTTTTGAGACAGAGTCTTGCTAAGTTGCTGAGGCTGACCTCCAAGTTGGGACCCTTCTGCTTTAGCTTCCCAAGTTAGCTGGCATTACAGGAATCCTACTGCACCTGGCCCTCTTCTGCCTGTTTTTATTGGGGTTAAATGATACACATACCTGAATATCTTCTCAGAGATCCCAGCCATCTGGCCTGAGTTGCATTCCCTGCTGATCCATGCTAGTCTCATCCTTCCACAGGCTGCCCTCTCCCTTGGACCCTCCTGCCCCTCATGGCTTCCTGGGCATTGGTTTGCCACAATTTTTGTGCCAAGGCACATGATGAAATCCCTATCCCTTCTCTGAGCATTGTTTTAAAATCTAGGAAATAGAATGTATATGATTAAAAAGGACACCAATTATATTGACATACAGCATGTCTTCTGTTTCTGCAGGTTTCACAACCAACTATGGATCTGAAGGCTTGTTGTTGTTTTTATACCAGGGACTGAACCCAGGGGCATGAACCTTTTTATTTTTCATTGTGAATTAGGTTCTCACTAAGTTGCTTAGGGGCTCACTAAATTATTAAGGCTGGTCTCAAGCTTGGAATCCTCCTACCTCAGACTCCCCAGTCGCTGGTATTACAGGGGTATATCATCACATTCGGCACTAAGTATTCTTTTTTAAATGCACTTGTCCTGACTGGGTGCAGTGGGACAACTACATAAGTAGTGTGTTGGACTATATTTGGAGATGATGGTCATAGATTATATGTAAATACTACACCATTTTATATAAGGGACTTGAGCTTCCTTGGATTTTATTAGCTGTGAAGGGTCTTAGAAACAAACCTCTTTTGATTCTGTGGGACAGTTACAAAAATATTTCTTAAAAACTCACATTTGTGATTTGGTAATACCGGACTTCTTCATTAGTTCATTAAATAGCAAATCTTTGTGACATGTTTAGTAAACTACCACACTTAGAAGTAGTGATGAATGTAAGCAAAATTTTGAAGCTTCTGAAGTAGCTCTAAGGTGATATGAAAGCATCTCAGCTTTCTCTTGATGGCAAACTCACAAGTATTGTTAATTCTACAATATTTGGCTTCCTATCTTCATCATTGTAGGGACTATAACTGTTCCCCATTTTAGTTCTTGATTCCCTTGGAACCAGCAGAGCCCAGGATTTCTCCCCTTTGTAGAACAGGCATGTTCTGTGTCTTTTGGATTCTAGATCCCTTCCCAACCACCCAGGCCACTGAAACCCCTGACCGCCCCCTGGAGCCATGGCTGGGGGAGCTGACAGTGACAGATGTGACCCCTGACTCCGTGGGCCTCTTGTGGACAGTTCCTGAAGGCGAATTTGACTCCTTCATGATCCAGTATAAGGACAGGCATGGGCAACCCCAGGTGGTGCCAGTGACTGCAGACCAACGGGAGGTTACCATCCCTGGCCTGGAGCCCTCCCGCAAGTACAAGTTCCTGCTTTTTGGGATCCAGGATGGGAAACGACGCAGCCCAGTCTCTGTGGAGGCAAAAACAGGTGAGAGGGTCCCCCGTGCAGCCAGACTTTTTGGGCCTCAGCCTTCCTGCCTGCTTCTGTTTGGTTTAAAAATTTATACTGCCTGCCCCAGTCCAAAGCATACAAGGACCAGTTCTTGGGTCCGATTACCTGCTGCTGGTCTTTCCTCTCTTTTCAAAATTTCTGCTTCTGTTGAATGGGGGAAGCCCCTTCCTGGAAGATGGACTATGGGAGACTGGGGCTGCTGGGAGAAGGGTAGTGGTCACCATCCTGCCTCCCTAGGCCTTGTGGGTTTCTCACATCTTGAGAGTTTCACCCTTTCCCTCCAACTCTCACCCCCCTCACCCATCTGGCCCCTCATCTGTTTCCCATAAAGGATTTTCTTCCTCCTCTGTCCTCCTGAAGCCTTGGGAACTGGGAACCAGAGGAGTCCAACCCAAATGTGCCCTATTTTGGGGTTCAGTCCAGGCCCTTCTCTGCCCCTGGGGCTTCCTATTGCCAGAAACCTCTCGCAATAACAATGCCGTCAGCGTCTTTGCCGTCCAGGAAGGCAGCAGGCCAGCTCCTTCCCAGGCCCCCAAATGGCTTCTTTGGCAGACATCAGATGCTTTCCCCATCTCAGTTCTCCCACTTTACCCTTCAATTCCTGCAACACCCCCAGGCACAGACAACCCCCCATTCCTCTAGGCCCTATGGGATTCTCAGTGCTCCTGAGTCCAGCTGGTGCAGAATAAGAAAGGGAACAGAGACGTGTAAGGACCACCCCTGTCATAACATCTCTCTTCCCCCACTGCTGTTTGCCCCCATTAGGGAACCTGTGCCCCACTTGGATTTCCTCAGGGGCCAGTCAGATCACAAAGTGTGGGCTCCTGGGTCAAAGGAAATAGAGACCAAGTCCATGATAAGATGCCCCCTGCTGGGGAAATAGTCTCTCAGAGATGGGAAGAGTCTAGACAGCAGAAAGGGTAAGATGGAGAGGGGAACTAGGGAATTTCTTCCCAGGAATAACACAGGGCAGAGGACTCTTCCCATGTTGGTCTAGTAAAGAGAAGCTCAGGCCAGTTAGAGATGGTGGCAAGGATGGAGGCTGATGGAAATACTCTGAGGGAAGCACTGACCACTTGGGAAGTTCTGGGGTTTTCCAGCCATAGCAAGAGACAGTCAAAGAATCATTTCAGAAAAAAATAATCACAGGAACTTTTCCTCTCTGTCAGCTGCCCGAAGTGACGCCAGCCCAGGGGCTCTACCTCGCCTTGGGGAGCTATGGGTGACGGATACCACCCCAGAGTCACTGCGCCTCTCCTGGACAGTCCCCGAGGGCCACTTTGACTCTTTTGTGGTCCAGTACAAGAGCAAGGATGGGCCCCAGGTGGTGCCCGTGGAGGGCCATGAGCGCTCAGCCACCATCACTTCTCTGGACCCCGGCCGCAAGTACAGATTCCTTCTCTATGGCCTCCTAGGCAAAAAGCGCTTTGGCCCCCTCACTGCTGATGCCACCACAGGTGAGGGGAATCCCCTGCAGAGTCTGATCCTTTAAGGCCCTGGGGCAGCAGGCAGTCACTTGGATAGCTGCCATTACCATTATTAGACCTCAACCACTTGGTCTCAGATCCAGCACCCTGTGCCCTTGCATGAGCCTGTAGCACCAGTCCTGTACAAAGCCCTGTCTCCAGATCTCTCCATCCTTCTCTTTGAGGTCACCAGCTTTCCAGAAACACATTAGCCATTTCTTCTCCATTTCTCTATCTCAGTGAGCCCGAGTTCTGTGGACCATACTGGAATAAAACCCCAACTAGGGGAGGAACTGCAAGTGACTGGCGTGACCTCTGACTCTGTGGGCCTCTCATGGACAGTCCCTGAGGGGCAATTTGACTCCTTTGTGGTCCAGTACAAAGACAGGGATGGGCAGCCCCAGGTGGTGCCTGTGGATGGCAGCCTCAGGGAGGTCAATGTCTCAGGCCTGGACCCTGACCGCAGGTACAAGCTGCTGCTCTATGGGCTGCACAACAGCAAGCGTGTGGGTCCCCTTTCTGCCATTGCCATGACTGGTAAGTGTGTGGTAACCAGAACACCCTGTGTTTCTTTTCCTCCTGGCTCTCCTGGTCTCACTGAGCCATAAGGTCTCTCAGCTTTCTGTTTCCCTTCTTTTGGGGAAAGAATGCCTCAGTATTTAAAGGCATCATTAAATCATCACAATGGTACTGTGATTACACAGTATCATTGAGTTTTGGTGAATGTGTAAGTCACGAAACCATTGCCACAAGGGAAATATAAAGCATTGGCATCTACCCAAATTTCCTTGTACCCCTTTGCAGCCAACGCCCTCACTCCCAACCCTTGGCATCCATTGATCTACTTTCTATCATTTTAGTTTTGCCTTTTTTGCATTTTGTTTTAACAGCATCATACAATACATGTTGTCTTGGGTTTGGATTCTTGCATTTGCATAAAGTTTTTGAAATTCAGCTACATGTATGAAAAGTTGACTCTTTCATTGCTGATCTCTTGCCCTTATCTCCTTCTTTCCCACCCTCCTCTTGAGAGATTTGTTCATCTCTCCCTATCTCTCTAAACCAGCCCCTAGGGAAAAAATTGAAGGTGATATCCCCACCCCAAGCCCTCCAACAGCTGAGCCCCACCTGGGGGAACTAATGGTGGAGGAGGCCACTCCTCACAGCCTGCATCTCTCCTGGATGGTGATCAATGGAGAATTCGACTCCTTTGAGGTCCAGTATGAAGATAGAGATGGTCAACTCCAAGTGGTCAGTACTGGGGGAGACCAGAGTGATATTACCCTCACTGGTCTGGAATCAAATCACAGATATCTGGTGACCCTATATGGCTTCCATGATGGTCAGCGTGTGGATTCTACCCACATAGAAGCCCTGACAGGTGAGTGAGAGGAACTCTGCCACTCTGCTCCCTTCCAAATGACTAGGGGGTCCAAAGGAGAGTAAAGGTCCTGCGAACATGGCCTCTCTTTCAAGCCTTCTCTCTCTTCATATTCAGTGCCTCAGGAGGAAGAGAATGAGCCATCAGAAGTACCCACTATGACCCCTGAGCCTCCACTCAGGCCACACCTCGGGGAGCTGACTGTGACAGATGCCACCCCTGACTCCCTGAGCCTCTCCTGGACAATCCCTGAAGGACAGTTTGACCATTTCCTGGTCCAATACAAGAATGGGGACGGGCAGCCCAAGGTGATGCGGGTGCCAGGACATGAGGACGAGGTCACGATCTCAGGGCTGGAGCCAGACCACAAGTACAAGATGCACCTGTATGGCTTCCACAGTGGCCAG